TTAATATAAGAATATAAGAAAGAAGGAACACTGCAGCAGGCCTATTGGCCCATGAGAGGCAGGTCCCATTCTCCCACCGGTTTAAGCCAATGCCTTGACCTAGTAAGGTCAAGAATATAATCACTAGAGGTCACATACAGGTCACCTACATGACCAAACTACAATTACAAATTACTGTATATAATTATATTACAAATTATCCCCACATTCTTACCTAATATACCTTAAATATATAAATACTTTGGGTATATAGGCAATTCTCAAAAATTTCGGTGGTAGTCACACTATACCCATGGTGTGGTTGGTAGACATACCATACCCATGGTGTGGTTGGTAGTCATACCATACCCATGGTGTGGTTGGTAGTCATACCATACCCATGGTGTGGTTGGTAGTCATACCATACCCATGGTGTGGTTGGTAGTCACACCATACCCATGGTGTGGGTGGTAGTCACACCATACCCATGGTGTGGTTGGTAGTCTTACCATACCCATGGTGTGGGTGGTAGTCTTACCATACCCATGGTGTGGTTGGTAGTCTTACCATACCCATGGTGTGGGTGGTAGTCTTACCATACCCATGGTGTGGTTGGTAGTCTTACCATACCCATGGTGTGTTGGTAGTCACACCAATACCCATGGTGTGGTTGGTAGCCACACCATACCCATGGTGTGGGTGGTAGTCACACCATACCCATGGTGTGGTTGGTAGCCACACCATACCCATGGTGTGGGTGGTAGTCACACCAAAACCCATGGTGTGGTTGGGAGTCTTACCATAACCCATGGTGTGGGGGGGTAGTCTTACCATAACCCATGGTGTGGTTGGTAGTCTTACCATACCCATGGTGTGGTGGTAGTCACACCATACCCATGGTGTGGTTGGTAGCCACACCATACCCATGGTGTGGTTGGTAGTCATACCATACCCATGGTGTGGGTGGTAGTCATACCATACCCATGGTGTGGTTGGTAGTCATACCATACCCATGGTGTGGTTGGTAGTCATACCATACCCATGGTGTGGTTGGTAGTCATACCATACCCATGGTGTGGTTGGTAGTCACACCATACCCATGGTGTGGCTGGTAGTCTTACCATACCCATGGTGTGGTTGGTAGTCTTACCATACCCATGGTGTGGTTGGTAGTCACACCATACCCATGGTGTGGTTGGTAGTCTTACCATACCCATGGTGTGGTTGGTAGTCACACCATACCCATGGTGTGGGTGGTAGTCACACCATACCCATGGTGTGGGTGGTAGTCACACCATACCCATGGTGTGGGTGGTAGTCACACCATACCCATGGTGTGGGTGGTAGTCACACCATACCCATGGTGTGGGTGGTAGTCACACCATACCCATGGTGTGGGTGCTAGTCGCACCATACACATGGTGTGGGTGGTAGTCACACCATACCTATGGTGTGGGTGGTAGTCACACCATACCCATGGTGTGGGTGGTAGTCATACCATACCCATGGTGTGTGTGGTAGTCACACCATACCCATGGTGTGGGTGGTAGTCACACCATACCCATGGCGTGGGTGGTAGTCACACCATACCTATGGTGTGGGTGGTAGTCACACACTACCCATGGTGTGGGTGGTAGTCACACCATACCCATGGTGTGGGGGTAGTCACACCATACCCATGGTGTGGGTGGTAGTCATACCATACCCATGGTGTGGATGGTAGTCACACCATACCCATGGTGTGGGTGGTAGTCATACCATACCCATGGTGTGGATGGTAGTCACACCATACCCATGGTGTGGGTTGTAGTCACACCATACCCATGGTGTGGGTGGTAGTCACACCATACCCATGGTGTGGGTTGTAGTCACACCATACCCATGGTGTGGGTGGTAGTCACACCATACCCATGGTGTGGGGGTAGTCACACCATACCCATGGTGTGGGTTGTAGTCACACCATACCCATGGTGTGGATGGTAGTCACACCATACCCATGGTGTGGGTGGTAGTCATACCATACCCATGGTGTGGGTGGTAGTCACACCATACCCATGGTATGGGGGTAGTCACACCATACCCATGGTGTGGGTGGTAGTCATACCATACCCATGGTGTGGATGGTAGTCACACCATACCCATGGTGTGGGTTGTAGTCACACCATACCCATGGTGTGGGTGGTAGTCACACCATACCCATGGTTTGGGTGGTAGTCACACCATACCCATGGTGTGGGTGGTAGTCAAAAGTACATAATGGGTCCAGGGACTGTACCTCAACATTACAGAGGTATATAATGGGTCCAGGGACTGTACCTCAACATTACAGAGGTATATAATGGGTCCAGGGACTGTACCTCAACATTACAGAGGTGCATAATGGGTCCAGGGACTGTACCTCAACATTACAGAGGTACATAATGGGTCCAGGGATTGTACCTCAACATTACAGAGGTACATAATGGGTCCAAGGACTATACCTCAACATTACAGAGGTACATAATGGGTCCAGGGACTGTACCTCAACATTACAGAGGTACATAATGGGTCCAGGGACTGTACCTCAACATTACAGAGGTACATAATGGGTCCAGGGACTGTACCTCAACATTACAGAGGTACATAATGGGTCCAGGGACTGTACCTCAACATTACAGAGGTACATAATGGGTCCAAGGACTGCACCTCAACATTACAGAGGTACATAATGGGTCCAGAGACTGTACCTCAACATTACAGAGGTACATAATGGGTCCAATGACTGTTCCTCAACATTACAGAGGTACATAATGGGTCCAGAGACTGTACCTCAACATTACAGAGGTACATAATGGGTCCAAGGACTGCACCTCAACATTACAGAGGTACATAATGGGTCCAGAGACTGTACCTCAACATTACAGAGGTACGTAATGGGTCCAGAGACTGTACCTCAACATTACAGAGGTACATAATGGGTCCAGAGACTGTACCTCAACATTTCAGAGGTACATAATGGGTCCAGAGACTGTACCTCACATTACAGAGGTACATAATGGGTCCAGGGACTGTACCTCAACATTACAGAGGTACATAATGGGTCCAAGGACTGCACCTCAACATTACAGAGGTACATAATGGGTCCAGGGACTGTACCTCAACATTACAGAGGTACATAATGGGTCCAAGGACTGCACCTCAACATTACAGAGGTACATAATGGGTCCAGAGACTGTACCTCAACATTACAGAGGTACATAATGGGTCCAGGGACTGTACCTCAACATTACAGAGGTACATAATGGGTCCAGGGACTGTACCTCAACATTACAGAGGTACATAATGGGTCCAGAGACTGTACCTCAACATCACAGAGGTACATAATGGGTCCAGAGACTGTACCTCAACATTACAGAGGTACATAATGGGTCCAGGGACTGTACCTCAACATTACAGAGGTAGTGAAGACGTGAGGTGACTTACGAGGTGTGTGAGTCCTGGTGACGCCTCGTGCAGGTCCCAGTCTTGAAGCTGCGCAAGAATACAAATAAATTATATCTCAATTAATCGAAAACTGAGAAATATACATTGTAAACTGAACTAGATTTGATTTAACTCTCTCTCTCTCTCTCTCTCTCTCTCTCTCTCTCTCTCTCTCTCTCTCTCTCATCTCTTCTCCTCCTCCTCTCCCCCTCTTCTCTCCTTACTCTCTCTCTCTCTCTCTCTATCTATCTATCTATCTATCTATCTATCTACCTATACTAATATTACTAGTAATAACATCTAATTTATCCACTAAGTCATTATTTAATTATTATATTAGGATTACAGTTATCATGACTGGTGATGCAGTCGATAGTCTTCAAACCTGGCAATAATCTTTTTTTGCAGTTATCTTCTTTCGTATTGAGAATAGTGTATATACACTGAGAGGTGTATATCTCAGTGTATATACACTGAGAGGTGTATATCTCAGTGTATATACACTGAGAGGTGTATATCTCAGTGTATATACACTGAGAGGTGTATATCTCAGTGTATATACACTGAGAAGTGTATATCTCAGTGTATATACACTGACAGGTGTATATCTCAGTGTATATACACTGAGAGGTGTATATCTCAGTGTATATATACACTGAGAGGTGTATATCTCAGTGTATATACACTGAGACGTATATATCTCAGTGTATATATACACTGAGAGGTGTATATCTCAGTATATATACACTGAGAGGTATATATTTCAGTGTATATACACACTGACAGGTGTATATCTCAGTGTATATACACACTGAGAGGTGTATATCTCAGTGTATATACACTGACAGGTGTATATCTCAGTGTATATACACACTGAGAGGTGTATATCTCAGTATATATACACTGACAGGTCTATATCTCAGTGTAAATACACTGAGAGGTGTATATCTCAGTATATATACACTGAGAGGTGTATATCTCAGTATATATACACTGAGAGGTGTATATCTCAGTATATATACACTGAGAGGTGTATATCTCAGTATATATACACTGACAGGTGTATATCTCAGTATATATACACTGGTAGTTTACATTAATCAGTATTTTAGGTATTAAAGTATTCTTGACTGGTGGTGACCAGGTGACCTGCAGCCTTAATGACCCTCGTGTAGTAGATAGACTTTAAACCCCATTAACCAACCTTAATGACCCTCGTGTAGTAGATAGACTTTAAACCCCATTAACCAACCTTAATGACCCTCGTGTAGTAGATAGACTTTTAACCCCATTAACCAACCTTAATGACCCTCGTGTAGTAGATAGACTTTAAACCCCATTAACCAACCTTAATGACCCTCGTGTAGTAGATAGACTTTAAACCCCATTAACCAACCTTAATGACCCTCGTGTAGTAGATAGACTTTAAACCCTATTAACCAACCTTAATGACCCTCGTGTAGTAGATAGACTTTAAACCCCATTAACCAATCTTAATGACCCTCGTGTAGTAGATAGACTTTAAACCCCATTAACCAACCTTAATGACCCTCGTGTAGTAGATAGACTTTAAACCCCATTAACCAATCTTATTGACCCTCATGTAGTAGATAGACTTTAAACCCCATTAACCAACCTTAATGACCCTCGTGTAGTAGATAGACTTTAAACCCCATTAACCAACTAACCTTAGTAGTAGATGGACTTTAAACCCCATTAACCAACCAACCTTAGTAGAAGATAGACTTTAAACCCCATTAACCAACCAAGCTTAGTAGTAGATAGACTTTAAACCCCATTAACCAACCAACCTTAGTAGTAGATAGACTTTAAACCCCATTAACCAACCAACCTTAGTAGTAGATAGACTTTAAACCCCATTAACCAACCAACCTTAGTAGTAGATAGACTTTAAACCCCATTAACCAACCAACCTTAGTAGTAGATAGACTTTAAACCCCATTAACCAACCTTAATGACCCTCGTTTAGTAGATAGACTTTAAACCCATTAACCAACCAACCTTAATGACCCTCGTTTAGTAGATAAACTTTAAACCCCATTAACCAACCAACCTTAATGACCCTCATGTAGTAGATAGATTTTAAACCCCATTAACCAACCATCCTTAATGACCCTCGTGTAGTAGATAGACTTTAAACCCAATAAACCAACCATTTAAGCCAAATATTTTAATTTACATTAGTCCCCGCATAAACGAGAGTTAGTTTAAGGGGTAACTAACCTGACGCTGCCAGAGAGGCTGTTAGGAACAGCAACAGCAGTAGTGACAGCAGATATAAGCGTGGAGGACTCATGGTGGAGGTGTGTGGTGGAGACAGCTGCCTGGTGGTGGGTGGTGGTGGTGGTCGTGGTGGTGTGGTCGTGGTGGTGTGGTGTGCTAGCGTTTATATACCGCCAGGCTGGGATGGGAGGTCACATCACCAGTGCCATGTGTTGCTATTATGTGTTTTGGGCACCACCACCACCACCACTACCACCACCACCACCACCACCACCACCACCACCACCACCACCACCACCATCACCACCACCACCACACCACCACCACCACCACCACCACCACCACCACCACCACCACCACCACCATCTCATTTTGATTCCACCAACACCACCACGAAGGATAACCCATCTTAATACAGGATGGGTTAGCCTTGAAAACCCATCACTTCTCCATTCCGTGACCCATAAGAAGTAGGACTCATAAGAATCATAAATCCCAGATTATCAGTAACCCAGGACAACCCATGAAAGCCAGCCAGTGTGGCTTACTGCCTTTGTAGTCCTGAAGTCAACTAACACACAGACATCTATTTACTACTACTTACTACTTACTACTTACTACTTACTACTACTACTATTTAATACTAGTGGCCCGGTGGCCTGGTGGCTAAAGCTCCCGCTTCACACACGGAGGGCCCGGGTTCGATTCCCGGCGGGTGGAAACATTTCGACACGTTTCCTTACACCTGTTGTCCTGTTCACCTAGCAGCAAATAGGTACCTGGGTGTTAGTCGACTGGTGTGGGTGGCATCCTGGGGGACAAGATTAAGGACCACAATGGAAATAAGTTAGACAGTCCTCGATGACGCACTGACTTTCTTGGGTTATCCTGGGTGGCTAACCCTCCGAGGGTTAAAAATCCGAACGAAATCTTATCTTATCTTATCTTAAATACATACACCAGGTCTTAGAACACGTTACCCTGTGTTTCGCCGCTCCTGGTATTAAACCAGCGCTCGTTTCCATTGTGAGCTGAACACTACCATGGGAGCTATATAGAACCCTCGCTCATAATGACAGAACCACAATAGGGTTCCACAACACTGAACCCATCATAGGCAGACAACAGGGCAGACATGACAGTTTTTCACCCCATTTTCTTTATCATCTTTACACCTGTGTTATTCCCGTTATAAAAAAATATATTGAATCTACTCGAGTTCTTGTGACATTGTGAGTATATCCAAAGATGTTTGTATCTTTGTGTATATACACAGAGTGTGTACCATTATCTGTAAATACACCGAAGAGCGTATATCCTTCTATGTATATCCTTCGATATGCAAAACTTATGGAAATTAAAAATTTATCACGGTATGCAACAAATTCTGTAATTACACAATAGAGCGAAAAAGTAATGTGAAGGACCTGGGAGTGATAATGCCAGAGGATCTCACCTTCCAAGATCACAACAATGTGTTTACTGAATCTGCTAGGAAAATGATAGAATGGATAATGAGAACCTTCAAAACTAGGGACGCTAAGCCCATGATGATTGTCTTCAAATCACTTGTTCTCTCTAAGCTGGAATACTGCTGTACACTAACTGCTCCCTTCAAGGCTGGCGAATGTGCTGACTTGGAGAGTTCTTCTCTTCATTCCAGCTTAAGAAACTTCAAGACTAGTGAAATGATTCCATCCACTCTAGGCTGAGGGATTGATTACCTCAAACTCCCGATCTTCAACCATTCTTCTCTGTACTTGACTGATAACGCCACTGTGTGGCGAAACGTTTCCACAGTAAAGACACCCTAGTGTTGAACAAGTGTCTAATATATCAACCTGTCAGTTTTACGAACCATGTAACTACATGGGGATAATAACCGAACCACCGCACAATTCCCCTCTGATGACTGACACTCTGGCTATGATTACTATGATTTAGAGATGTATCGGATGTGAAAATTTAAATAGCGGATGCGGATGTATATGCGGATATCTCTTTAGAGGAAAATGCAGCTACAGATGTAAGAAATCGTGCGGATGTTCCACGGATGCGGATATCCGATACAGGCGAGAGACATGATACAGTCGAATAAATACACGTACAAACTATGTATACTTATCACTGTGTTTACCATGTACACAGAACACTTAGCTGTAGCACAGAACCAGTGTTCAGACTCTTCTTGCAGAGCTGCAGCAGGACTGACAGATGCAACAGAAGGGACAAGTGTCTCTGACACACCAGATGCTTCACTTAACCCGTTTAGAAGCTCTATGTAAATTAATGGCACCAGACATGAAGCTCACTACTTAAGCATGCATAAACCTCCCATATCCACCAACTGTTTAAAATCCCACCCTAAAAATATCTCCCGACCTACGGGGGATTTTTTCTATAACGATTTTAAATAATATCCGTGAAGCCTATCGTGGCCTGTTTACCAGACCTAATATCCATGTCTTTGTAATGTTATCACCGCTTATATTGACCAATTAATTATTTACTAAACCAGAAGGGGCACTCCAGTTCTGTCTAACATCACTACATGTTAATAATAATAATAATAATAATAATAATAATAATAATAATAATAATAATAATAATAATAATAATAATAATAATAATAATAATAATAATAATAATAATACCTTTGTTACTACCAGTACATGTACAAGGTATACAGACCATAGCTGACATCAATTACATACTACTATATAGAACGTTGCTTGTTATGCTGAGCATTTCCCGCAAATTAGGTCAGTTTTGTCCCAGGATGTGACCCACACCAGTCCACTAACACCCAGGATGTGACCCACACCAGTCCACTAACACCCAGGATGTGACCCACACCAGTCCACTAACACCCAGGATGTGACCCACACCAGTCCACTAACACCCAGGATGTGACCCACACCAGTCCACTAACACCCAGGATGTGACCCACACCAGTCCACTAACACCCAGGATGTGACCCACACCAGTCCACTAACACAAAGGTACCCATTTTACACTAATGGGTTATTCCACTGCTGACCTTGCTACTGACAAGTTACAGTAGCTCTACCTCAAGAAGTTTCCCTTCGATCCCCGTCGGGGAAGGGAATTTGTAATCAACACACCATCGCCTCTACTCTTTCACGATGTTTGGCCATCGTGTAAATATTAAGTCAAGAAGACTTGCCCTTGCTGTCGCTGTAAACACCTGCTTGCAGGTAAAATTTATAGCTGTCCACTCTTTGAAAGACTCCTTCATTGTCCTCTGTAGTGACGATCTTGAAGCTTCTAAACTGATGGACGACACCGCTATGAAGACTCTTAGTGATCGACAGTTCACCGTCTCTCCACCTTTCCTACTGGCGAAACGTTCTGTTGTTGTCAAACGTTGGGACAATATCATAACATCCCTATCGACTGATGCTCTGAAGACCTCAATCGTCGAACAAAACTCTTGGACTTCGATTGACAACATCACCAAGATTCCAAATGCTACTGCTATGATCAAAATCACCTTCTACAGCATCGATATGGCTACCAGAGCACTTTCTGATGGCCTAGCCATCTCCTACTACCATATTCATCCACGACAAATAGAACCAAAACATTTTGCTCTTGTCACCCTGCTGGAACTGTTGTTCTTACCATCACTCAACGACTGACTGTCCCATTAACGACAAGAAATTCTGTTCCAACTGCGGAAAAGGACATTATTTCAAAGCCTGTTCCACCACCAATCCCACTCCAACCTGCCTCAACTGCAAGGGCACTCACCATACCCTTGCAGCTAAATGCCCACTGAGGAAGGAAGTGCTGACTAAGAAAATCAAAGCGGAAGCTAAGAAGAGCAGTCTCAAATCGCCGACATATGCCACCATAACAAAACAGCTATATCTATCCAGCACCTCCCTCTCTCCACTTCCAGACGCGGCTCCCTCCAAGGTGCTGTATTGCATGGTGTATGTTGCGCACCTTGCGAATGCAGCCAACCCAGGCACATTCAACACCACCAACTTAACAACATGTCTGCCGTCGTTTTCCCTGACTCCACACCTTCAACTGACATCCTCAGGATTCTTCCTAACGTCGTTAACTGCACTACTGCTGACCTGTCTCCTACTGCCCAAGCAGCTGTTCCGGCACCTTCCACAACCTCCGACAACACCTCTCATGCTGCCTCAACCACAGCCTCCCAACCAGATGTTACACCTCCAGTACACCTCTCCATTGCTCCTGTCGACCCACAGTCACCTGCTAGCACCGTGGTAGACTCATCTACTGAATACACATCAGAAAATGAAGAATATTGACAACT